AACTTAAAGAAGTCCAGACGCTTTTCTTTGCAAGCTCCTTTGACTACGATGACCTGGATGACTGAGAACCTTCGCAGACATATGCATTAGAACAACTTGTTGAATCTTGTTGAAGGATGTGGAGGTGTTGAGTTGTGCAGCAGTAGATTTGCAAGACAAGCAGAAAGATCTTTGGCCAGATAGAAGCATAAGTGGAATTTAAACAACACAAGAAATTCATTCCAGCTCAGTGTAGTGCGAACACTTTTCAGTTATGTTATGGTCTCAGATGTGCTGTTGTGTTATTTAGGGATATGCAACACTTTTGCACAAAACTAAAGCGGTGACATGGCTTTACACAATAAGGTTCTTTGAAATCACAAAATAAAGCTCTGATATTAACTGATCTTGATAGTCGCAGGTTCCCAAATGGGGTTTGTAATCAGCAGGATTTAATGTGGGTGTCAATCATAGAGTGTATATAAAAGATGACCATTGCCATCGCAGGACATGTTTAGATGGGAGGAGTGACAATGAAATGCTAGCTTGGATTGAGTAAGGTGTATTTTAATCTGAAAGCCAGTTTTAGCGAGTGCTGCAAAAAAAAGCTTAAAAAATACATTTCTTTCCTGAACCCGTAAACACATCAGTCTTGATGTAACCAAACCCCAGAGCATGTGATGTTTTAGTATTTTGTCATCTGTTTTGCTCCGAATGTAACCAAATTTTAAAAAAAAAAGAAAAACATCTCGTATCTGATAAGACTTGAAATTATCCAAATAAACTTTAAGCCTATAAGGAAAGTTGTTTATGTCACGGTCAGTGGGAGCTGACTGTGTGTTTGAGTGAATAGTAGGACCCAAATGCAGACACGGTAGGAGATGGAACAAACAAAAGGCGAGCCGTTTGTGAACACAAAAACAAAGCAAGAGCGAACAGGGCCAACCCTGACCTGAAACTAACCTGGGAAACCAGAGACATGGACATGAAACCGAACAGGTACGTGTGACTATGGAACTATGAAATAAACCGGACATGAACCTGATCAGTACGAAGAACTCTGAGACATGATGTCGCTAGACATGCAAACAAAAACTGAAAGAAAACACAGACTAAATACACACAGGAAGTGACCGGGGGAAATGGAAACACATGGGGAAAACAGCTGACTAGAATGACATCATCAGTAACACTAAGCATAGAACATAGAAACAAGACTTTCAAAGTAAAACAGGAACATAATGGGATGCAGACATGACACACGAACCAACAAGGGAGACTTAAACACAGGAGTGATGACACAAAGGCATTGAAATACACAAACTAAAACTGAGCAACCTTGGAGCTTAAGATGACTAAATGAACTTAAACATTAACAATGAATATCGGAATACAGGGAAAATCAAAACACTGGGTCACACGACTCAGGACAGTTTACTGTTGTCATAAATGAAGTGAGACATTATATTTATCTTTTAGATGTAAACCTGAAGAAGTCCAGTTTCTTTCCTTCCGAGCTCCGTCTTTTTTAACCAGACTGGAAGTAACACAGGTTTAGAAGCACTTTTACTTTTCAGTCCTGGAGGCACCATCCATCTTTTATATACAGCCTATGCTTTGAAGGCAGTTTGAAATCTGTGCGATATTGATGGATTTCACAACTATTTATTTAAAAAAAAAAGAGGCAAAAGCAAGATTTGATTTCATGAAACTGTGGAGGATGATGACTTAAACCTTGTTACCATAGTTACATTTCAGTCCGTGCCTCTAAGGCACAGATATAGGCTTTTATATACTGCATTGCTGTGTTACATTTGACTTTTTACATCTACATTTTTCCAGTTTGCATATTCCTCCTCCCTTACGTAATGCTTCATACCTAGTTAAGTTAAGTACTTGGACCTCATTCTGCAGCCTTGCCTCCCTCCTTTATTCTGGCACTCGTAAAGAGATAATGGCGTCAGTTAGAGTACACTTTATCTTGGCAGTGTGTCAGACAGGCCTGTACTGTCAAAACCTGTCAGCAGAAGTGGCGTCCACAGCCTCGAGCAGCTCCGTGTCCGTTCAAGCCTCGAAACGAGTTGACAGCAGCATTAGGATGTGAAGTCACATGACTGCCAGGGAGGCCCTGGATCAAATGATAGCAGCTGTTTGGGCGTATCCTTCCTCCTGGCAGGCCTGATCTTACATTTCAGGGTATGATCTGGCCTGGTGCCCGTGCCCTCAGCATCTTCATTTACAGTGTTTATTTAAGCTTCACCTGCAGGTATTCACATCGATAAGCACAGTGTACACAGTACTTATCTAGATGCATTTGTGAAAATGAAAAATGCACGAAGGCTTTTTGAATATTGAAAACTTGACTTTGAATAGACTTATACGTTTCTGAGGGTTTTTTATATAAATTGAAAAATTCAAATAATGTTATTCTCTATCACAGCCGCTGTAAACGACCTTCAGACCTCTCGTCTAACTAGGCGTTGCTGCCTGAGAGCTATTTCACGCAAGAGTGGGAAAAGTGCTCATGAAACTGAAAAAGTCCCTCTTCAGACTGCATCCCGTTTACAATCATATCAGCAAATTGATCAAGGGCGTTTAAACCACGTTTGAAGTAATGTGTTGATACTTCATCCATTTCAGTTGCGTAAACTATGAGAAAGAGTGTGTTTGCGGTCTGTCGGGTTTGTCCAAGCCCATTCCTTTGAGCTGTGGTCTTCCCTCCAGCTTCCCAGAGCGTTGCCGTTTTGTGTAATAAACCCACACATTCTTCTGTCTCCTCCTCATCCTTCCTAAACTGAGCAGCTTTAGGTTCAGTAGGAATGGCACGGGAGCCAGGGCGTTATTTTACAAGACGGATCTGGACACTGGATGTATACATCCAAGACAGTTGCAAAGGAAATAGCTGTCTGCTTTGAGTTGTGTCTCAGTGTGGCGTTTACCACACGTCTGTCTTACTGTATATATAAAAAGGGAGAGTTCAAAGTGCAGCTCTGTTCTTTTTCAAGCCTTTAGGACACTCCCCGATCTTACTCTTATATATTATATCAGGAATTTACATAAAAAAGCAAGAAAATATATGTCAGAGTTGTTGTTTGTGTTGACAGATTTCAATAATGACACTCAGCAGATCCGTAGAACTAGACAAGAATTCATTTCAGATGTTAAAGAGCTAAATATTTTTCTCATAAATCATAAACGCTGCTGCCAGAAGCAAAGCAGCTGATACAGTATGTGATTGTTATGTTACAGTGACTGTGTAAAAGGTCATGGAACATTAAGCAGACTACTGAAAAAGAAAATATGTATTTGACCTTCGACTTTATCACTGGCGTAACATCCAAGTCCTTGGATGTTTTCACTGCGGCGCTTTTTAGACCATTTTCAGGCCGTAAATCAAAAGTGGATACATTTTTACATTTTTTTGTGCAGATCGAAACACTCGGGTGCAAAACAATCACACCAAGACCCTTTGCAGCAGATGGCTTCAGTCGTACTTCTATCATTTTAATGTGCAGCACTGCTCAGTTCTGTTGTTTTAAAGCACTAAATAAATCAGTTTGAAGCGTGAGCTGCTCCGACACCACAGACGTTCACCATGGATTTACTTTTTTTCTTCTGCAATAAGCAGACAAAATCTTCTCACATGGTTTGTTGTGCCACAGTAAGTGAAGCGAGAGCTGCGAAAACATCCGTAACGTGATGTCTGGGTGCGAAGATATCTGATTTTCACATCACATCATATCACACATCAAATTATTGTGGTCAAAATAATGTACAATAACTATGTTACTGTAGTATCTATGAAACAATTATAGCAGTAATGGCAACAAATGACTTTGTTTCTGTCTTTGTTGAGTCCTGAGAGCTTGGTGGTCAGACGCAAACGAGGTGCAGAGGCAGACAGAAAGAACAGTTACACATTATGATATTATCATATATGCATCGTTGACACTGTATTGATCGTTTTGAATTATACGGTTGTTGT